ACTCACACACATACACAGACACGTGTAGAGGTGTTTAGTAAGATGAGACTGACAAAAGGCCAAGCAGGACAGACAACAGGAGGGGGCGGCCTTCGCTACACAAGAAGTTTGAAACGAGACTCTGGGAAGGACTCTTGGACCCTGGAAACACAAGAGTCTGGCAGTGACAGCCCGGGAGGGGACTGCAGCAGAGATCTTTTTTCTAGTCACCTGGACAAGGTAGAAGTCATGCCTTCTTGGTATACCCAACGCCTGGCACATAGAAAGAACCTGAATATTAAATCAGCAATCTTTGTTTAAAACAATAATGAATCAACGGACCTCAGCCCTGCCTGGAGGCAGGGGAATGAGGGAGATGACCTCACAAGGACCTTCTGGCCTGGGCTTAAGGTCATTATTATCTCTTCCTTCCCATTTTCAGGCTGGATACAAACACGTTGAGATGTTGGGTGTGTGTGCGTGTGTGCGTGTGTGCGTGTGTGAGTGTGCGTGTGTGTGTGTGTGTGTGTGTGTGTAGGGGTGTTCTTCCTCACCCTCAGGTTTATTTAGATGTACTTCCTCCCCACAGCTCCTCCAATGACCAGGCTCGGCTATTTCTGGAGCTGGACTCTGGGCAGAGCCAAACTTGTTCCCAGGGCTTGTGGGTCCAGGGCACCTGCATCCCCTGAGAACGTGGGGTGGACACGACCTCAGATCATTATCCAGAAGGCTCGGACCGGATGGGTACCAAATTCACAATTGTCTTCAGATTTTAGAACGGTGATTCCATATACATACACTACATTGTGGAATGCCTCATAGGGCCTGGGCAGCACCCTCTCACCGAATACGCTTCAGAGAACCTTAAGAAGATTCGCTCTAAGTGAGATCAATAAAGACCATAGAGAGCCTCGCGTCCGTTTAGGTCAGGTTTGCAGCCAAAACAGTTAAGAAAAAAACCCTGTGGTTTTCAGGGCTCTTTGAATTCAGAGTTGAGGACTTGGGTCCAGGAAGGTGCTGAGGAGAACGCCCTGCTTAGGGTGGGCACCCCTCAGGCCATCGGTGGGTGGGTGGCCATTTTATGTTTCTTAAGAGGGAGAATGGGGTCTAAAAGCTGAAAATCTTTGGTGTAGGCCAAGAACATTGGCTTTGGAGGTGGGCAAACCTGACCTGACCTGTCGGTTGTCACTTACTGGCTGTGACTCAGGGCAAATTAACCTCCCTGAGTGACCTTTCTCTTATATCAAGAGGCACCATATTAGTATCGTTAGCGTCTCGAGGATTAAATGAGATGGTATGAGGAGGAAGACCTATCCGAAGACCTATCCGAAGACCTATCCGAAGACCTATCCGAAGACCTATCCGAAGACATCCGACGAAGAGCAAGGGCTCAGAAGAGAAGGGGAACGAATGAGTTTTTCGTTTAGAATTATTGCACCTGCTAAGATTTCAAGTTTACTCTCTAAACTCCCAGATCGGGGCAGGACCCCAGATTCTTTTCCCTTCTGGCCAGTCTCAGGAGAGGGTCTCGTGCATTCCCAGATTCCCCATCACCATCCCCTGCCCCAGAGCCATTGCCAAGAAAAGGGAGAAAGTAGGCTGATGCCTAAAAAGGCTTCTGGACCTTTCGAGCTGTACACCCTGCCCCCACCCCTGCCCCACCAAGAAGGTAAATCCCACAGACCTTCTGTCCTCATGTACCTGATCCCGGTTCTTCCCCAGCTCTGAGCTCAGGCTACTCAGGTTCGTCTGGGTCTCTGTCATATTGTGGGAAAATCTGGAGAGGACCTCGGCCAACTATAGGGCAAAAAGGCAGAGCTCAGTGGGGTGTTCAGGTCGGGGCTCTGCGGCAGCCTGGCCGAACCACTGCCGCCCAGCTCCGCCCCAAAAGCGCCCCCTGCCCCAGGCTTACTCACAGCCCGCAGCGTGGACCTCAGCTCTGTGGCCCTCTTCAGTTCTTCGATCTCGGGCATCCTAGCCATGTTGCTGAGCCTCAAAGAAGGACAGAGAAATGACACATTTGGGGCATTAGGAGGCCAAGAGCTCCATGACTGCAAATTGAGCATGGTGCCGTTAGGACAGCTTTGCTGGCTTGTGGGACGTCTAGAGAGTTTCATGGTTGGGAGAGAAGAGTGAATTGGAAGAAGCCCCTCTTCATCCAGTTGTGACGCCGTTGGGCATTGCAGTGAGCAAAGACCGAAGAGATCAGAACTCGAACCTATGAATATTCAATGCAAGGCGGCTGTCGATGAACTCCAGACAAGAAAAATTTGTAACTAAAGGAAAAGAATAAAGTTCCTTTCTAGTAGAAAGGAACTGTATTTCATGATAACCAATAGCTTATGGATAAGGGAAAAGCTGTATTTTATAGAACACTAGCCAATAATGTGCCAGGACTTGGAATATCAGCATCGTTCTGTCCCAGTGAAATTACTCACTTGGGCGTGGTGTTAACATCCACGATACATGATTAAGGCATGGAGATCTGTGTGGTGCCAAAGTGACGCCACACCGATTCTTCCACAGGGAAAATACAACTCTATAATATACAGTAGAGGAATCAGGCTGTCACCACCCGATGGTGGGTAAATATGAAGTGTCCCAGCATCATCTATGATATATTTAGCCTAAAATTTAAATTGAATCCATTCAGCCTTTAAAAGTCTGTTTCTAGGAAATGCCGGGAAAGAAGAACAAGACAGATGACATCCAGAGGAAGCGCAGATGAATCCAGAAGATGGGAAGTGAGTCTTGTCCCTCTAACAAGCCTGTGTAATGGGGGCGGCGGTGCGGGGTGGGGCGGGGGGTGCAGAGCAGGGAGGACGCAGTCTGTCTAGATTGAAACAGATTTACGGAATACAGCAACCAGATTCAAAGTGGGCTCTTAAGAGTAAATCCTGGTTTAGATGAAACCAGCTAGAAAAGAAAATTTGTGGGATCGTTAGGGAAATTTGAATATGAATGGGTGCTGGATGAGATGAAAATGTATGACATGGAGGGGGAGGGCTCATTCGCTGAGAAAAGCAGGTTGTACAACAGTAAGTACTGGACACTCTCATGCTGATTAACATACTTATGCACTGTCTAGAAGGATATGTACGCTAGGGTGTGACGATCCATCTCTGGGTGGTAGGAGAAGGCATTTCAATTTCGTTTCTGCTTATCTGTGCTTTCCAGCTTTCTACAATGGTCATATAGACTGTTTTTACAACAATGACAATTAGGAGAAAGAATCCTGAGTTTCTGGCTTGGGAATGGAGGGGACGGGGAGAAGTAGGGAGGCAGTGCAGGCTGGGCCGCGGCCCGCTTTGCCCGCTTCTGTCTCCTGCGTCGAGCAGTGTTTAGCTCACAGTGGTAACTCAATACGTGATTGTCGAATGAATTACTGAGTGTCTGAATGCATTCGGGGGCATGGAACACTTGATGGCAGAAGATGAGACCGACCCAATCCGACTGGGCAGGGAGTCAGGGACATGGGTTTGAGTCCTGGTCCTAGCATCACACCTGCCATCTGCAGGATCCCTGGTTACTGACCTTAGTAATAGAAGCCTCAGGTTCTTCATCTACATCATGGAGACGTAAATCTCCTTCCTGCTACCTAACAGGGTGTCGTGGAGATCAGATGGGACCCCCAAAGTAAAGGGCTTGACTAGAAGGCATGAACACACGCTTTTTTGGTGGTGGGGCTGGGGCATCTCTGGGAGTCCCCAGGCGGGCCCTGGCTGCCTGAACAGCGCCTCCAGATGGCAGCAGCTGCCAAGGAGGACCATGAAGCTTCCGGACAAGGCAAGGACACCCTGCCAGGGAAGTCTGTCTTGTGGAGCCTGATGCAGGAGGAATGCACTGTGAAAAAGGTGAGCAGCCAGGCCGGGCAATGGCGGCCACTTTGTGTCACATACTTGGGCTCCTTTAAACATGAGATTCAGCTCATTAAAATATCTCAGATTCCACTGTGAATCTGAGGCTTCAGATCTTAGAAGCAGCTACAGGTCTGAGGATGTTCAGAAAGGATGGGATTGCAAAGTGCTGGAGCTGAGAGGCCTCAGAGATCGTCCAATCCTCTCATTCTGAAAAAGAGTGAATAGAGGCCCAGGCTGGGAAAGAGGACGATGGCCTGAGGTCAACAGCGGGTTAATGAAGAGTTTGGACCTGGTCTTCGGACTCCTGGCCTGTGTCTGGGCTCTCCACGCTCCTCCTTGGGGGCGGGGACAACATGTTTGGAGCAGGCACTCCCCTGACCTTGAGCTCTCTAGACACATCATGCCTCTGAGGGGCCCTTGGAGACAAAAATGGGAAAAACACTGGCCAAGTCTGCAGACACCTGGCTCCAGCCACTCCCCCACACTCCTGGTCCAGGGCAAGGGGCAGACATTTCTCTCCTGTTCAAGAACCTACAATAGACTGATAAGTCATTTTATTGCAGTTTAATCTGCCAATCGGACTCTCCAGGACCTCTACACATTCTCTCCTCCCTTCCTACCCCTGCGCCCTACTCCGCGTCATAACCTCACCAGCACCCCGCCCTCCCCACACACACACTGCAAACCCCTATGAGCCCCCAATGACAGCCCCCTTCTCTGTCTCTGCACAGGACCTTCCAATCCGAAGTATTTTCTCTCCTTACGGCCTGAAAAGCCTCACCTCTCCCAGGAAGATCTCTGTGGTTGTCCCTACCCAACTCCAGTCTCCCGTGACCCAACCATCTCGTCCCCCTCACATGCCAGGAAGGGCTATCTCCTCTAGAAGAGCATGAGCCCCTCTACGTGGCACCACATCTGTCCCAGGAACCCCTTTCTGTGCCCCGGCCAGAGCTCCGCTCAGAGGAGCAATGTCGCCGACCCTGCAGCACCTCGTCTCTGTAACTGTTTGACGGGGGCCCGGCCATGCCGGAGACCATTCCTACCACGTGGAAACACTTCCTCCTCCTGCACCGCCCTCACCGCATCTGCTCCATCGTCGGCCTTGTCGCTGCCAAGCCCCAGGAGGAAGGCAAGGCTGCCATGAGTCAACTCTGGGAAACTCCCAGGACCTTCCTGAGAACAAGGGCCGGGGAACACGCAGGGTGGGGAGGGACATTGGGCATGTTTGGCACAATCTGCTCCTCCGTCACCACACGGCTCCTCTCAGTGGGAGAGGCTCCAGCCACCATCGCTTCCCCGGGCTGCAGAGGCTCCCTGTCTCGTCTGCACCGCAGCTCCGTGCCTTTCAAGATTTAGGGGCTGTGCCCACTTCTCAGTGGTGCTCTGGCCTTCGGAGTCTCTCCGCTTCTCATCTCTAGACCCTCTAGCTTGGTTTCTTCCTCCTCTCTCCCTTTCTCTACCCATTACCCCGAAATGGCCCAGTCAGAGGTGTGGAGGGCATGGAGTCCTGAGGATTGGGGCAGGGAGTCCTAAGAAGGTAATGACAGTTTAAGACACAGAGAAAGCAGAAGGAGTGTGGAGATGAGACCTCCTGAATCCCGAACCTGTCAGGACCTGTGGCCAGTGCTCGGGTGTGAGTGCTTCTCCTGGATGCCTGCTCCGGGGCCCGGTCTAAATATTCCGAAGGGGTCTGGGTGGACAGATGCCCCTTCCTGGGGCAGGGAGGCTGCCTGGGCACCTGGAGTAGCGATGCCCCATGGGCTCTTTCTCCCTCAGGTGAGGCCCTGGGTGGTGGGGGAGGTATGTGCAGCCACTTGGCAGGGTGGGGCATTGCTGGAAATACTGGGGGGAAGGAACAGAAAGAAAGAGGGGCCGAAAGGTCTCCGCTGGCTTCAAGCCTGCCGCGGCCCTACTGTGGGCAGGAAACCTACCTCTCGGGTCCCAGGCTGCTGCTGAGGAAGAGGAGTGATGTCCGTGTGACCTCCAGTGTCCGCCTGCAAGTGGCCTGGAGCATCTCCCTGCCGAGGGAAGCCAGAATCAGTGCTGCCTTCTCCCAGGGGAGTGAGGGCGCCATGCCCACAGCCACCCAGGACCCAGAGGCACTCACACAAACCAGTGCAGCCCCCGAAGCATCAGCTCCTGCCCGGCCAGCAGGGCCCGTGCCAGCCGCAGGGCCTGGTAGCCGGCACCCATCGCACCCTGAAAACACAGGTGGGCAGGGTCAGGTTCCACACCCTCTACCCCTGAACAAACCCCCCTTCCTGCCACCGGGGGGCCACCCCTAACCTTGGCAGTGTTGTAATCTGCCTGCAGGTCCACTTTGGGCACGAACTTGGGGATGTCCAGAGCAGCTGTAAACAAAGACCCTGTCTAAGGGGCTGCCTATACGGCCCTGGATGAGCTCTGAGCTCATCATTCCTTATCCCTGGCTCACACTCACCCCTCACCACCTAGCTTCCACCTCAAACTTCCCAACTCCTGGAGCCCTCACCGCCAAGCCTTAAATGTACTTTAATGTGCTTCTTCTCAATTGCAGTCCTCCATTGCCCCCTTGTGTCCACTTTGGAGAACTACAGCTTCAGGCCTAAGGCCCTTTCTCAAAAGCCAGGAAATGAGCCAAAGCCACCCTCATGCCCAGAAGTTACAAGGTTAATTCCTCTTCCTAGCCTTAAAAACCTGAGCAGGAGGATGAAATCGGCATTATTAAATTGTAAGGAATGATATTTTTGCTAGCACTTAGAGTATAAAACTCTGGACCCCTGACCACCTTCCCTTCTCTCCAGTACCTTAGGCTCCTGCCTCCCCCGACCCAAACCATGCGAGGCTTCCCCACCAATTGCAGAGATTGTGCAAAGCACATTAAATCCAGATCTCCCTGTTTCAGTTGAAGTTTCACATCTCTTTGGACACCGTGAAGCTAGGAGATGTCAAACCACTAGCCTGAGTCACATGGCATTTCAGAGGCATATGCAGAGTTAGAACCCAGAATTTGGGGTACCCTGTGGGTCTAAAGAAATGCTCACAAAGGAAATAAATCAATATCCTGGATCGTAAATCCCTGCCTCTTGGAGAAGAATGTGAAGAGGAGATAAGATCTGGCCTGCGTGGCCCTACTCACGGTCCCTGAAGGCCAGCCCTTTGGGGGTCTCGCTGGCCATGCTGAACAGCGTCAGGGGGCTGCTTGCTGTCGTGTGGGCAATGTGCTGTGCTGAAAGGTTGGGTTCAAGGACACAGAGGTGACCCTCGAAGAGGTACTCTTGGTGCTGGGGGGCCACGTTGGTCTGCTTATATACAGCCTCCAGGAAGATGGCTACCCTAGACAAACCAGAGGCAGAGGGAGGACGGGGCGGGGTTGAGGGGAGAGGAAATGTTAGCAGGCAAGATATGGGGTCCAGGCAACCCAAACCCCAGCTAGGACTTCATGCATGCACGGGGCTCAGCTTTTCAGAGGGAGGGACCGGGTGATTTTCTCCCTCATCAAGGGTGGAGGCAGAGGGCAGAGCTCCTGTATCTTACAGCGGATGGAGACCAAGTGGGGACAGAACTCAGGAGCCCCACTGTCCAGACTCTGCCTCAGCACCCTTTCCTGCCACACTCCGTTAAAATCCACCTAGTCCCATAAAATGTCCCAGGAATAAGGGGTTCCATGAGCAATAACTTTGGGAAACACATCAGCAACACATGCACACACCCCTCAGGGGATTTATAATGCAAATTAGCATTGTAAAGTTTGCTCAGTCTCTGGAGTCTAGCAGCAAGGAAGCCCATTTCCCAACGTTGTAGAAGTCGTACACTAAAGTTGGATCCAGAAGCTTCCATATGTAAACGCCCCCCCAGAACACTGCGTAGGACACGGCCTGCCCTGGCAGAGAAGGTCCTGAGCGTCGGGCGCGGGCGCCGGCTTACGTGTTGTGGGCGTGGATGTAGACATGGTGCAGGGCGGCCTGCGGCAGGGAGAAGACGTGCACGACAGCGCGCTGCAGGATGTCGCTGGTTTCCGCAAAGAACTGATCGAAGCCCCAGCACTTGGCCTGCTCCACCTCCAGGACGTTGGCCAGGATGGGCACCAGCTGGCTCTGCAGCCCCCTACTCGCAGGACATGGAGACTGTCAGGGGCCGGAGCCCAGACTTGTCCTCCTTGAGTAGGTAATAGGGGTGGGTGTTCCATAAGAATGTCCCGAAGAGCTAGGACCGAGGTGGTGGGGTGGGGCGGGGCGGGAAGGAGAGGAAGAGCTGTAGAGATTTCCCAGCGTGGACACTGAGACAGGCCTCAGCAGTGAGAGGGATACCCAGCCCAGGCTCGGGTGTCTGCCCCCCGCGGAGTCCCGCTCACGTCGACAGCTGGCAGGTGATAGGAAGGGCGTAACTCCACTCCAGGGGCCCGTTCTCCCACCTCTGTGTGCCTGCGATGGCCCCAGCTGGCTTCTCTGTGGTGATCCGGTACCTGGGGTGAGTGAGGCAGAACCAGGTCAGGGGGACCCCGAGACCATCACACCTCAAGGAATGGCAAACAGCATGGAGGGCTCAGAGTACTGGTTCAAGTCACCTAGTCACTCTGAAGCAGCCTGAAAATGGACTTTGAGAGTCCTGGCTCTCAGCCGACAAGGTCACCTTGACTTGGTGCTCCCCAGTCAAACTCTGCTCCTTCTCACTGTCCATTTCCTTTATCACGTTATGGCACATCTACAGCAGGGCCTCCATACCTTCGCCCGCGCTGTGCCTGGCCTGCAAATTCTTTCCCTCCACTTCACTATTCTAATCCTCTCTTCCTCTCAAGGTCCAGCCCCCACTGACGGCCCCGCCCACATCAGTCTCCTTCCTCATTCCCTGACCTCATGCAGCTTCCACATGGCTGACCCCTGAGCTGAGAGTGGGTGCTTCGAACTTCCTGCGAATCTGCCTCGAATCTGCTCTGGGTGGCACACTCAAGTGGGAGCAGCTGCTACCTCTGGCTACTTCTGTATCAGGCAGCAGGAAACCTGGAAGGCCCCTGGACCTGGGATCTGGATGCTGGGTCTTGCCCCACCTCCGCCCCTGGCTGTGCCACTGGAGCCTCGCTTGAGATGAGGTGAGCCCCCGATGAGGGGAGGGCCGATGGGGAGGACTAAATTCAGATAAGGGGTTCCGGTCGGTCTCCCATCAGCCATGTGCTGATCACCAAGAATCTAAGAGGAGCCTGGGCGGGCTGGGCCGGAGGGGGACCACAGATTCCGAGGAAGAGGAGACACAGCAGGGCCAGGAGGGAGCCCCAGAGCCCTTGTTTCCCGCCACGGCCCGCCGTACATGATCTCCTTGTTGCGCCGGGGCCCACCAAAGGGCACGAAAGGAAGGCTGCCGGTAGCTGCATGGTATAGGGTCACCCCAATGCTCCAAAGATCCACAGTCACCCCGAATGCCTTCTGCTGGGGCTTCCGAAGCACTGCCCGCTCATACATGTCCGGGTGCTGCCAGAGAGAACCGGAGAGCGGCCGTGACGGGGAGGGCGTGTAAGGGCCTGAGCGCACACGGCGCAGCTGCACCGGGACCCCGCCCCCAGCCCGCGCAGGCCCCCTTCCATTGCCTTCTGGTGACAACAGAACCATCAGAATCCATCTCCCTTGTCATCAAACACTGGCATAGAGTTGGCCTATGCACAGCATTTTCATCTGTCCACCTGCCCTGGGGAAGGTGGTGACCAGTGGTGTCCCATTCTCCGTGAGAATCAGAGCAAGGAGTTAGCCGTGCTAAGGCAGCGCGGGCAGGGAGGTGGGGGCAGGTGGGACGGGGAAGCCGGGGCAGGTGGGACGGGG